CCTATAGTTTTATACTGCTAAATTAGGGACGGCTAGCGCAGATAGCCCTCGTGTAGCTTTGCGCGAAATCCATAACATACAAACAAGCGTCCTCCCTTACATTTAAGCATTCTGGTCTTTATTGTATAAATAGGAAACAAAATTAAAATTTTAACGAAAATTGGGGATCGTTGTTTATTCTTAGAATTGCTATAATAAATAGACAAAACAAAATAAATACTGCAATGAAAATTACACAAATAAATAAAGTCATATTAGTTGGATGGATTTTAAAACGATTTTCAATTCCTACTTTAGTTGGCATTGTGATCCGTATAGCTAAATGTAGCAATCTAAATTTACCAACCAAAGTAGGGATTGGAAATCGTCTTAAAATCTATCTAACAAGTATCACTTAATTTGTTTGTGGTTGTTATTTTAGCAATGTTAAAAGGAATTCATAATTCATGTTTTAATACTAAAAATAAATACGAAACCAAACCAAACATTCAATTCACCACTTACCGCCTTACACAGGCCTAAAATAAAGTTACAATATAACATCTCACGATATCACAACTGTAAACCTGGAACTAATGAAGTATAGCCTACTTGGTGTACATACATAATTTGTAAAACATTTTGATATTTATGTCATCCAGTACTGTTCAAAGTCACATAGCTAGAGTAATTTTGCAAGTATGCAGAATAAATTTCTGTTATATCCCTAATTTTGAAACTTATGTTTTATATGAGAAGCCAGTCACTTGTGGTGTATATGGATTATAAAACAGATTGATAAAATACCACTTAAGTGTACAAATAACAAATTTTATTAGTTTACAAAACTGTACATATTGTTACGCTTCCAGTCGTTAATTAATTTTCTGTAACTTCTTTCTGACTAAACTTTAGCGACACAAGTCCTTTCTTAATAAAACTGGTTTATTCTTTCTGAATATAACTTTACCGATACACTTATTTTCAACAGTCGCTTTATAACAAACGCTATAACAACGAACTTCAACAATACTTTCTGACTGCAGTTCAATTACTCACTATCTACACACATACTGTCACGTCACGCCGTGACTATCTTATATATACCAGCCCACTCCCAATCTAGCAAATGCTAGAGCACTCCCGAAGGAACAGGATAGTTCTAGAAAACGGGTGGCGTGTTACTAGTCACGTGATCTCGCTGACGCAACAATATTGTTGCGACAGCGGAAGTCACGTGACGCTGCTGACGCGTTTGGCGTTGGTAGCATACGTGAACTTTCTCGAATGATTGGGGAGGCCCGCGTGCATTCGGGTTACCCCTTTGTTAGTATGTAAGCCTAGCAGAAAAGCCGGCGAGATATAGATAATTAAAGAAGCAAACAGTAGTGACGGTAAGTAAAGTGTGTGAATCACTGTGATTTATAGCGAGTATTATAAAAGTTGTTAAGTTTAATGTGACGAGAAACGTATTGACTGTGGAATTACTGTGTACTAGAAGTTTCTATCGAGGAAGAATAAACCTGTTTAATCAAGAAAGGACTTGTATTGCTGAAGTTCCTCGGAAATAATTTCTACCGGAAATTATCAAACAAGCAGAAATGTAACAAATTGGTGTTAGAGAGTGGGACGGAAAAAGGAGAGAGAAAAAAAAGACATGGATACAAGAAGTGGCAAATCAAACTACAGCTTAGCAGATTTCATGGCAGCAATACAAGAACAGCAAAAGAAACAAGAAGAGAGACTACAGAAGTGGTTGGGGGAGA